GAAGAACCCAACAGAGGGATGCTTTTGGAAGCCCTTGTCAAGAAACTCCAGTGGACTCTCATATGAACGTTTGAAAATTGCCCTGTTCTGACTTTTTTCTAGTTCCCTCGTTAGAACTTGTAATGTTAAGTACTCTTCCTTTACTTCTCCTTCACATCCCCTATTCACCAGTTAAGGACTTTCTTCTCCCCTTAGAGACAAGAGTTATGCAATTTGGGAGTCTTTTAGATCGACCGACCTAAGGGGTACTCCAGTTGCCTCACCCCGCATCTCCGTTCAGCATGGAAGAAGCCAGAGCGGTCTGCATCCCTATTCCCTATTAGCAATTTGGGTAACCCCTTCAGAGGATGGTGTGATAAGAATAAGAGGTAGGAATTGGCTAGGCAGTTAGAGTAAAAAGACTCCAAAGAAAAGTAGCCAGTTTCTTAGCTAAAAGTCCAATGTCCTTGGGTCCGTTAGCAACGTACTCTATTCCGAAGGCTTGTATCTAATCCTTAAAAGATTTTAGGGTTACCTCTTCAGAGGAGGGAATGTTGGGGGGGAGGGAGTGGGCATGGATTTGATCAAAACACCTATATGCATGTATGAAATTCTCAATAAAGTTTTTGTAAAAAATTTTTTTAAAGACATATCAGAAAACAACACCTTGGCAAGAGAGACTTTTTCCTGAGTTTCAACTACACACGAATAGCTGTCATGTTCCATGTGCCTTCTCCAATGTTGCCCTGCCCATGCCCCCTACTCCAGAAACATAAAATGACATCATGCTGACCTATGCTAATTCTCCAACATACCAGCATACCACCTGTGACTGATCCTTCACCTGTGACCACCCCATGGACATGCTTCTTCATTTATAAAACAAAGAAAGGGGAACTGTAGAATGACTTTTATTAATGGACTTAATCTGAACAAATGAGTTTCAATTAACCCCAGAAAAACCATGTGTTCTTGTGTCTTGTGACCTGGTCACCTGATCTTGTTTCCTGGGAACCCCAATTTGGTGCTCTACCCAAAAAGATCATGAATCAATGTGGGCATGCTTGAGAACTGACATATCAAAGTGCTGAAAACCAGAGCACCCATCCATCACACACAGTGGAGATTGGGAAGGACACATGACCTTGGGTGAATGATATATTCTAGAACTAGGGATGAAAAGGATGAATGGTCTTTATCATTAGGGTGGAGCTAACCTTGCACATTCAAAATTGAAGCTGGAGAAACCATTTTGAATAAAAGCATGGGGTGGAGCTTGAGGACTCAGTTCCAGTGATGGGGTTCCAGCAAGACAGTTCCAGCAAACTTGCTCATATGAACTTACAGCAATGGTGGCAGCATGCACAAGACCCTGCAAACTCAATCAGACAAAAACCCAGCAGAGAACTGGGGAAATGGGCAAGATGCTCCAAACTTAGCAGAGGAACTACTGGCAGCTGATCACTACTGGGTGAAGGAGTGTGTGGGTCTTCTTTAAGGGAGTGACACTGATTCCCTTTCATGGGTGTGATTGAGCAAATCACTGGCCATTGGAAAGTAAACTCAGTCTTCAGCCCTATGGTCCTTTGTGGAGGTCAATTTTTGGAACTGAAAGTTCCAACGTCTACCAGACATGTCCTCACAGCTTATAGCTCTGAATGTGGCTCAACACAAAATCATAACCTTACTTAAAGCACTGAGATTTTGTGTGTGTCACAAGGTGTGTTTAATTGAACTTGGCAGTTCTCAAGTGTGGACTTTGTAGATGACAATGTCAGGTAACCATGTCAAAAGGTAGGACAGAATACCTGCTGGCTTGCATCCTCCAGCAACCACATGGTCCCATCCTACTAGTTCTTTTGAGACTGACCTTCTCATTATAAACTCAGGACCATGAGTTGTAAGGGCTTCTGATAAATAGCAAAGAAGTTCCTTTGTCACTCAGAAAATTAATCTAAGGGTTTTAGGAGCCATGTGCTGGAAGCTAAGAATAAAAACCAAATTTTTGAGAAAAAAATTTTTGTGATGTATTTATTTTTATTTTATAATACATGAATATTTTTGCCTGCATGTATGTAAGTGTAGCCATGCATGAATGCCCTTGGGGGCCAGAAGAGGGCATTGGATCCCCTGGAACTGGAGTTATGGAAGGTCATTAGCTGCCATGTGGGTGCTGGGAACTGAACCCGGGTCCTCTGAAAGAGTAGCCAGTGCTCTTAACCACAGTGCCATGTCTCCAGCCCCCAGACATTTCTTTATGTTATAACACGACAGGATGAGATTCAAAAGAGCAAAGTATGGAGGTCTTTGCTGAGGATGCAAAGGTCTAAAATGTAGCTAGGAATTCCAAGATGCATGAAACAGAACATCAAGACCATAGCAGTTCCCTGTGGGACAAGTGACTGGAAAGGCATCACAGAGGACCCTGTTGGAACCCTGCGGGTTGAGAAGACAGAAGGACAAACAGGGGAATATGGGTGTGGGGGTGCAATAAACAGGTAGGACTGGGGATATGCAGCCAAGATATATCAGTACTGACTATGGCGATCTCTGTTCATGGTGGGGAGTTTCATTATCTGCAAAATGTAGAATCATACAAATCAGAATCTTCTCAAATTGTTTTAGACTCTGGAAATAGCAATGGAAGGTTTGTGGGGATCTAATATATACAAACTTACATAGTGTGTTCTGACACACCCTATCAGTTATCCCTTATCTTGCTGTGACAAAATATCAGATAAGAGCAACTTAGGGAAGGAAGGCTTTATTCTGCCTCACAGTTCAAGGCTATAGTCTGTCATGGGGCTATCATGGCAGCAGGAGCCTGAAGCAGCTGGTTCCGTTGCTTCCTGCAGTCAGGAGGCAGAGAGATGAATGCTGATGCTCAGTTCACCTTTTCTTTTTTATTCAGTCTAGAACTCCAGTCACAGAACGGTATCACCCACATTCAGCATGGGTCGTCTCACCTTTGTTAACCCACTCTAGAAACTCCCTCACAAATAGCTATGTCCAGAAGTTGCCTAGGTGACTCCAGCCCCTGTCAAGTTGACAATCAGCATTAACCATCATACACAAAGAACAAATTTAAAAATAAAACAATGCTTACTTTTATAACTTCTGTTCTTTCCTCTACACTGTTTCCATTCATGCATGGACAAGATCCAAACCACATAATAGGAAACACAAGTCCTTTCATCCCACCAGTCCCTAGTCTTCTACCACATATCCACTCAACAACTTCTTAGAGTTTATAATCCACTTGCTTTTTTATTTTTAATCCTTTTTATTGTGTGTGTGTGTGTGTGTGTGTGTGTGTGTGTGTGTGTGCAGGCAGTTGTGTGCTAGAGGTCAAAGGACCACTTGTGGGTGTTGTTTCTCTCCTTCCACCATATGAGTTCCAGGGATTAAACTCCAGTTGTCAGGCTTTGTGACAAGTTCTTTCACCCACTGACCATTTTCTGGCCATTCTCATGTTTTTCTAACCTTTTCAGAATAGCCTTGGTGTGTTAGCAAACATTAAGTCAGCATTTAGAAGTTTTGGGGGAAAACAGTAGGAAGTAATTTTGTTCCTTACAACAGTTCATCTTCCCAAATTTGAAGCATACTCTATTGATGACTAGTAACCAGCTAACTTTTTTTTGTCTTGTCTGCCTTTCCGTGGAAATACAGCTTTCTTAGAATACACATAATGCAGTGCATCCCATCAGAGACCAAGGAAGACAGAGAAGCACTGCTGACATTCATAGGAAGCATTAAATGTGCATCACTGAGAAGCTAATGTCACTCAGCTTCAGGGCTCCTCACACAATCCCTGCTGAGATCCTGACTCTAATTTTGTATAATAGGTTGAGCATCTCTAATCCAAAAGTGCAACCTGAAACCCCAAATTCTCCAAAACTGGCAACTTTTTGAGCACCAACTTGATGTCACAAATGGAAAGGTCCACACCATGAAACTTTGCTTCATACACATATTATTTAAAATACTGTGTAGAGTCACCTTAGGACCCTGTGTATAGGTTTATATGAAACATGGAAGTTTCACATTTACACTTGAGTTCCATTCCCAAGACTTACTATGTATATGTAGTGTTTCAAAGCCTGAAAACATCTGAAATCCCAAACACTTCTAATTCCAAGCATTTCAGATAATGGATATTCAACCCGTATTTTCTTTTCTTTTTTTGGCAGTGATGGTGATTGATCCCACGGCCTTGTGCATGATAGATTAGCATTCCACCACTGAGCCATATCATGAGCCCTGATATTATGCTTTGGTTTTCTGGTAGTAGGAATTGAACCCAGACCCTCTTAAGCAAGCAGTCTACCTCTTTTGCGAAAAAGTCGCAATGTGTGGCCCTGGCTGGCCTTGAACTTATGATCCTCTGCCTCTACCTCCCCAATGCTGGGATTATAGGCCTGTTCCACCATTCCCAGTTTCCAGTATTCTTTTTCTTTTTTAAATTATTTATTTTTATTTTATGTGTATAAGTATTATGCCTGCATGTATCTAAATGCACCCATGTCATGCAATACCCATGGAGGACAGAAGAGGGTCTTGGATCCCCTGGAACTGGAGTTACAGATGGTTGTTAGCCCATATGCGTACTGGGATTCAAACCCAGGTCTTCTGCAAGAGCAGTCAGTGCTCTTAACTGCTGAGTCATCCTCCAGCCCCCTGTATTCTTTTTCTTAGAAAGCCTACCAATCCCTCTCCTACCAAAAATTATAGAAAACGTGGGGCCCCAAGAGTAAAATTTGGTGACATGCTCATTAGACTTTGTTGTCTGCGAAGGATGCAGAGCCTCCCATGTAGTTGCTGCTTGGAGTTTCTGAGGAATCTTTTCCCAAGAGGGAGGAGCAGGAGGCAGAGGAGGATGCTCTGAGTTTTAAAATGCCCAGAAGCCATTTCCTGTAACGGGTAGAGGACAAGAAGTAAATGACCTGGTCAATACCACAGTTCAAGTTCATGAGGGACATGGTGACCTGAAGGGCCAGTGTGAAAGCCCTCTGCTGAGCACAGGAAAGGGGCCAAGCATCTCTCTCACCTTGAACTGGATGACATTGAGATGGTAGGGGCTGAAGCACATGAGGGCAGTCACCAGCACCACCAGGGTGAGCAGACATGCCCTCCGGGGGTATCACTTGCTGGTCAGAGGGTTTTCCCGGGCAGTGCTGCACAACTTCAAGGCGATCTTCACATAGCAGAACAGAATGATCCCTACAGGCCTACAAAAGCTGACCACACAGGCTACCAGGACCATGACAGGCAGCCCAAGGATGGCCTCCACACTGATGTACTCCATGCAGGTCAGTTTTCCCTTCATGGGCCTGGCCACAGGAGTCAAGAGCAAGGGTGCTGTCTGCAGAAATGCCAAGATCCAGACAGCCATGCAAATGAGCCTAGCTTGGCCAATACTGCAGAGATGCAGGCACTGGTGGGCACAGACTACTGCCAGATACCGGTCCACACTCGCACAGGTCATCAGATAGATCCCTCCGTAGGTGTTCACGTACATCATGAAGGGCATCAGTCTGTAGATGCCATCTCCAAATGGTCAACTGAAGTCTAATACATAATAGGAGATCTTTCCAGGCAAGGCCAAGGTAAACAGGTCCACCACAGCCAGGTGGACCAAGTAGACATTTGTAGAATTGATCTTCTTGCCCTTTTGACAGGCAAGGCAAAGGGCAAGGATGTTTTCTAGGGCACTGAAGACCAGGAGGGCTGTGTAGAACAGAGATAGCGTCAGGCTGGCTGCATGGGGTAGGAGTTGTGTGAGGCAGGAATTACCATTATCAGGGAGACTGCTGGTGTTGGCTATGCCAGATAACATCTTCAGAGGTCCTTTAGAGATAAAAAACAAAACAAAACAAACAAAAAACACAGATGTGATATTGTATCTGAGATTATGCCATTGGAATATGTTGATTAATACTTCTACTGGGATAATATGCACATGAAAGATTGTGCATATGTACATGAAAGTGCAGGTGTTCATGTGTGTACACATGCATATGCATATGTGTGTACATAGTGTGGAGATCAGAGGTCAACATCAGGTGTCTTCCTCCATTCCTTTCTACCTCATTTTTTAAAAATTATTTATTAAATGACCACATACTTAGAAGACGCATTTCATTACGTCAGCATTGACATATTCAATAACAATTTTCTGAGTTAGAGTGCATCTCTTACAAAACTGGTTGTACATTTTTAGGTTTACAGTTGAATTATTATAGTTATACAATATTGTACTCAGTATAAACCCTATAAGGCATAAAATTAAATGAGGTTTTAACCTTTAAAAAAGTACTCCATTTCACTATTAAAATATACAGTTTCACGCAGAAAAATTCATTTTTAATACAATTGACACTAAGATGCATATGCGTTTCGAATCTCTATATGTCTGATTATTACTAGTCATTGTCGGTTACTTTCTGAGCTCCTTGGCATCTGAGCATGGATATAAAGTCAGCAGGTAGATTTCAATGCTAATGTTTTTCATGTCTCCCAAGTTCTGGGACTATAGGCGTGCACCACCATGCCAGGCTTTTTTAAAAAAATTTTAATAAATATATGATTAGAAGAAGTATTTCATTATAGCATTGACATATTCAATAACAATTTTCTGACCTAGGGTGCATCTCTTTCACAAGTGGGTGCAAGTTTCTAGGTTCACAGTTGAATTAATATAGTTATATATTATTGAGCTCAGTATAAGCCCTGTAAGACATAAAATTGGATGAGTTTTTAACCTTTAAAAAAGATCTCCATTTCATTTTAGAATATCTACCTCATTTTTAAAGACAGAGTCTGTCATTGAACATGGAGTTTGCCAGTTTGGCTAGATTAGATGGCCAGCAAGCCTCCCCAGTGCTGGATTACAGGTGCATGCTGCCATGCCCAGTTTTTATGTGAGTCCTCAGGATCAACTCAGGTCTTCATGCTTATACAGTAAGCACTCTTCTGAGTATCTCTCTGTATTAGTCACTGTTCTGTTGCTGTGCTAAAAACACTGGCTAAAGCAATTTATAGAAGGAAGAGTTTATTTGAGCTATAGTTCCAGGGGAATTACAGTCTGTCATGGCAGGGAGGCATAGTGGCTGGAGGTGGCTGGAGCAGGAGCAGAAGCTAAGCTCTCACATCATCACACAGGCACAGGAAGCAAGAGAGCAATTGGAGATTTGGCAAGGCTTAAGAACTCTCTAAGCCCACGCCCAGTGACATGCTTCCTCTAGGATAGCCACACCTTCTAAGACCTCCCAAAACAGGGCCATCATCTGGGGACAAAATGTCCAAATACTTGGAGCCTATGGGGAGGCTCCAGCACCACCACACTCTCCAGCACCCATTATTGTTGTTGTTGTTGTTGTTGCTATTATTATTATTATTATTTGGAGTAAACTTTTTTGTTAAAGTGTAGCACACCATTCCCAGTGTGGGTAACAAATTATTCTGAGCCATAACTGAACTTACAAAGTATTTTATTACATTTGTGGGTTCTATGTACCAGAATGCTGAAGAGGGCATAGCGCAAATGGCTCTTCTCTGCTTCCTGATGCCAGGAGCTTTAACCGGGATGAGTTAGAAGCCAAGAGTTACCCGGTGGTGGGGGCCAGTGTCATCTGGAGTTGACTTCATTCGGGGCGGTGGTTGATGCTGACTGCTGACTGGAACCTCAACTGAGTTGTCAATGGAAGTGTCTACCTTTGGCTTTTTCATGTGACTTGGACTCCATCACAGCATGGCAGCCTTGGTGTATATTAAGCTTCTTACATGACAGGTTGAGGCCCCCACATAAGGCAAAACTGAAAGTAACTGGCCATTTTACTTTCTGTATCTGACACTTTGACATTAGGAGTTTTGCTGACCCTAAAGAGCCTCTCAGTGTTAGCTAATTCCTAGAGACAGTTAACAACTCACCCATGAGGGTGATCTCTAGATGAAAACCAACCAGCTCAGAGCCCTCATCTTCTACCACTTCCTTTCCCAGGCTCACAACACTTCCGGCCAGGTACCAAACAACCCTGACAGCCCCTCTGCCAGAATCCTCTAGAGTGATTCAAACTTGCCATCTTAAGCCTTCTCACCACGGAAACCACAATGAAGACGGCTGCCCACACTCTCCCCTTGCTCCCATGCCTCCTGGCCAATCCGGACACTTTCCCACGTGAGCCTGTGTGGTACGGCATGCCCGCTCCTCTTGGGAACTATAAGCAGCATATGAGCACTTTCTAATCTATTCATCTTAATGAATACAGAATTTCTATCTTAAAACACTGTACCTTCTTTTCTTACCTAGCCTCAGAAATGTCACCTCATGGCTTTTAGCACTTTCTATCAGTCACAGGCAAGTCACAGTCTACCCTGATTCAAAGCAAGGCACAGACCATCCTAATTCAAAGAAAAGTGAAATAGTCTCTGCTTCTTAATAGGAGGATACTTTAATAATTTAAAACCTTCTTTTGTTTTTTGAGACAGGATCTCATGTATTCCAGGCCAGTTTTAAATGTACAGTGTAGTTGAGGCTGGCCTTGAACTCCTGGTCCTCCTGCCTCTACATCCCCAGTGCTAGGATTACAGGCCACCATGCTTAGTGCAGTCATTTTAAGCTTTTGTTTATTTTTCCTTTTCCTTTTCTTTTTAATTTTTTAGATTTCTTGAGTCAGTGATGGGCATGGTGATGCATGCTTTTAATCCAAGCACTCGGGAGGCAGAGGCAGGTAGATCTCTGTGAGTTTAAGGCCAGCCTGGTCTACATAGCAAGTTCAAGGCCAGCTGGGGCTACAGGGAGACCCTGTCTCAAAAAGACGAAAAAAATTATTGAGTTAGAGTTCTATGCATAGTCTTTTTTAAAAAGAAAACCACAACATACACCCATAGAAATGTGCTCAAGTCACAAAAGCACAGACAGACAATTTTCATAAAGTACTCCATCCTTGTGATCAACACCTAGATTAGGAAGCACCACCCTCTCAGCACCCCCTAAGCTCTCCTGCACCCCTCCCAACCTCTACTTCCACCCTAGGCTAAACTCTCTCCTACCTCCCAAATCACCATACCATCCTGTCTGTTTTGGAACTCCACAGAATAGAATCACACATCGATATTTTTGCACAAGTAGCCCCTTCGGCTCGACATCCGTTTGTGAGGTTCACCTCTGTTGCTAGGTGTGGCTGTAATCCATTCTCCTCCTTGCAGAATGGCATTCCATTGTGAACACATGACCATGTATTTATCCTTTCTGTCGTCAGTAAACAGTGAATTTGTTTCCAGTTGGGGATGACTATGTGCAGGTCTGTTGGACATGTTCTTTGGTTGACATGTTCATTTTCTGAGTAGTGGAATTGGTGTGACATAGACCCCCACATATCTACACATATCTAGCTTTACTGGGGTCTAGACAGTTTGCCAAAACAGGTGTTCTTTTTTTGTGTTTGTGTTTGCTTGCATGTGGGTGCATGTGTATGTATGTACGCATGTGGGTGCATGTATTCATGTGCATATGTTGGTCTGAGGTTGACAGCAGGTCTCTTCCTTGACTGCTCTCCACTTTATTTATTGAAGCAGGGCCTCTCACTAAACCCAGAGCTCACTGATTCTAGGTAGTCTAGCTAGCTAGCTTGCTCCGAGGATCCCGTCTCTGCTTCCTACGTGCTGAGATTGCAGGCAGTTGTCACGCTACTACCAAGCTGCTGGCTTTGAAAAGGGTTCTGGGGCTTTGAATTCTGATCCTCATGCTTGTGGGGCAAGTGCTTTATCTTCTGAACCATCTCCCCAGCCCATGCTCTTAGTGGTGGATGAGCCATGCCCATTCATCTTCATCAACACTGGACATTATCATTTTCTCAGGTTAGCCACCATGATGATACATTTTTTGTTGGTACTTTAAGCTTTTTTTTTCTTTTTCTTTTCCTTTCTTTTCTTTTTTAATTTTAAATTATTATTTATTATTTTAGTCAGAGTCTCTGCATAGACCAGGCTGACTTGGAACTTACAATGACAAGGTCCTTTGTCATTGTCATAAGGCCTTTATCACCCAGGCTTAGTAAGAACCATGCTAAGCCCATTTAGAGAGAACTCTCCACTCTCAATAGCCAGTCACCCTCAATATCTGGTCAAATTCCTTACCATCTACCTTCCAGGTCTGAGCACCTTTGCCTGTCTTCACAAGAATCCTATCAGGGTAAAGTAACAAGAACTCCCACTCCATGCTTCCATTCTAGTGAATTCCATCTCTATCATTTCTGCTCCTTGGCTTTAAACTCCGACTTGTCCATGGTATATCAAGAATAGAGTTCAGTTCTATGTACACCAAGGGCTGAGGATGTAGGCGGTGGAATACCAATTGCCTAGCATGTACAATGCCCTGTGTTCAATCTTTACCACTGGAAAAGAAATCTCTATCAAGGTCTCACTCTCCTATTGCAATAGTGCCTGATTAAAATCTGCTTTTACCACTTTACTCTTCAGCTCTAATTTCTTTAATAACACTCACCCACATATCCACAAACATACATGCATTTGTTCACTCCCACACAGGATCTTACACATGCTCAAATTCTCTCTCTCTCTCTCTCTCTCTCTCTCTCTCTCTCTCTACAGAGACAGTATTTATGGCCTTCCACATATGGTACTTGACCATTGAATAAGGTATTTTCACTACACTTCACCAGGGAGCCACAGAGTGGTGGCGCGCGCGCGCACACAGACACACACACACACACACACACACACACACACACACACACAAAACGGATATATGAATCTGGAATCCACGAGTGTACAGGCCGACCCAAGCCCCCAATGAAATGACAGTCCTTCGAAGTAAGCCCTCCCACAGGACAAACCATTGGCATCTATGTCCAGCCTGAAACTGCCAGCTGTGAACCAGGAGAGCAGTTCTTCCTCTTCCCTTCTCCGAACAACGATCGTTTCAAACTGTACTGAGTTTCTGTATGGAGTGTGAAGAGGAGGCTAGAATAGGCCAGAGCAGGTCCAGGCAAGCCAAGCCATCCAAGGGGTCAGTTCAGCTCAGGAGGGTCCCAGCCCAGGTCAATTCACCTTCTGTCACCCACCCAAGCACTCACAGCACAGCTATCCGATGCCCATTGGGCAGTTTTGTGTCTGTTTCTTCATTTGCTTAGGGCTCACAGGGCAAAGGGCTGGGCCTCACTCCTCAAGTACCCCTACTCTTCCAATGGTCCCCCTTTTTGGTTTTTCCTATTGCTCCTCCTCAGGACATGTCACCCTCCAGCCTCGGCACCATGAGATCCTCAGGGTTCACTTGACTTCCTTAGTCTGGTGTCCCTCTGTCCTCCTTTTGCTGTCTATACACCATCCTCCTCTGGAGGCTTTGTCACATAGACTCTCCTCTCTGAACCCTTTCACCTGTGGAGAACTTTCAACCTTGTCCCTGCCTGCTGGGTTGGCCCTTGACGGAGACTCACCTGACTCATGCACTCTCTGCCTCTCCAGCAGACCTGAGCCTGAGGGACAATCATGTTCTTTTTTTCTTGGTGTTTGGCATGAGACAATTGCTCAGGATGTTAGACCCTGCTGGAAGCCACAGAAAAGTCACACCCAAGAAGAAATGGGTGGTGCTATCACAACAGCTGTGAACCTAGGGAAGTTGTCATGGTTGAACAGCCTCACAGATCCAAAACGGGAGCCACCAAACAACAAGCTTGTGAGCCCTTCTACCACAGACCTAAGCCACCTCACCTCCCGAAGGTGTGTTCTGCAGCCCTTCTCTGCATCCACCTCCACCTCATGGATTCTTCCCCCAGGAGCACAAAATACTCCACTCTCCCGACACATCCTTCTCTTCTGAAATGGCCTAGAACTGCACACTTAAGCCTTAATACAAAGTTACCCTCTCCAGGCATTTCCCTCTCATGAACAGCACCAACCTTTTAAGACCCACAGAGGTGTGACTGGAAAGGGCAAAGTGTAGTTCTCTTCAGAGCTAATCAATTATTAAAAGTACAACCATGTGGGGGAAGGACTATCAAAAGGGCTTCCTGAAGTCTTCTGAAATATTTCCCCAAAAGACAACCCAATGAGCTGTCCAGGACATATCAGCAGGTTTTACTTCATGACATGATGCTGAATCTGGCCTGCCTTTCTGCCCAGAGAAGACTGACAGGGATCTACTGAGCAGGGGAAAGTTAAGGACGTCCTTCCTGCTGACAATAGTAGTAGAGAGAGCTGGAGCCAAGAGGCAGGGTGGTGGAAAGGTCTTTGCTCAGGTATCCAAGAAGGTCCTTGCTAACTAACCTATCTCACCAAGGGCAATCAACACACCAGGATGGCAGCAGAGACCTGTCTAACAGCCAGCTGCCTTCCTAGGTGGTCACAAAGCACAGAAGGGTGCCTGTGCTCTCCCCTCTGTAGAAAATAAATCAGTTCATGGTACTAGACTCTAAAGCTTCCTCCCTTTACACCTCTGCTTAAAAAATGAAAAACCCCAGGGTATCAGCAAAGATGATCTCCCTGCCACAGGATGCTGCACCCACCTCTAGTAGAGGCTCTGTCTGTGACAAAGGAGGAAAATTACCCCAGGAGGCCTGTTTCTTTTCAGCTCCATTTCTACCCCCCACCCCCGCCCGGGGCTAAGATTCAGACCACAGATGTAACAACCAAACTATCAGTGTCAGGAAATTCAAAAGCAGTCACCATTCTGCTCCAACTGGAAGCAATGAGCCAGGTAAAGCAAGAAGTGCCACCTGGGGACCCACATATGCTCAACTCTGAGGAGGGAATTGGAGGGAAGTGGCCCTGGTCCGGATTCCCTGGGCTTTGTGGGGCAAGGCGTCTTAAGGGAGCAGAAAAGGCACATCTGCAGCCCAGATAGGCAGCTTTCCAAGAGCTGCACTTGGCAGGGGCTTAACACTCTATTGCAAATTAAATTGGTTCTTCACCAGCAGGGAAAGGCAAGAGGCTGGGGCTGCCCCCTGGCTACCACTTTTTTTCTTCTTTCCATTTCCCAGAAAATGGTTTTCCCTACCACACCACTGGCTAATAAATGAGGCATCCACACATCCCTTGATTAAGATTGTGCCTCAGTCACAAGATTGTTGTCACTGAAATGTACGTGTGAAAGCCTCTGGAGAAGTACACACGCCTGTTTCTCCAGAGGCTTTCTCCAAACCCTAATTGAAACCCAACTGTTCCAGCTTTGTAGCCTGGTCTGAACTGCATGCCTATAGGTATCCATGACTTGGTACAGCTTCCCGAATGCCTTGGTTTCCCCCTAGTCAAGAATGTGAGTCAATGCACTTCAGACTAACAGAGGCCATCACAGCCAAATTTCCCTGTATGTAAAATGGCCTAAACAATGCGCCCCCCAACTCCAGGTCTTTTGGCGAGAACTTAGATTAAAAAATCCTATTCTACCAGAACATTTTGCCATAAATTTCCTTTCCTGCCTCTGCCCACAAAAAGAACAGAAGTAATTTCAGGCATAATTGGCCTACATATATATCACAAGCTCCAGTAGAAATTCCTTCATGTCTTCAAGTCACTTAGGGTTTCCTTATTAAATGGAATGGCCTAGAAGATCGGAGAAGGGCAAGAAATTATGGAATGCTCCCCCTACCCTTGCTGTGTTCACCCATTTTTCATTCAGTAAGCATTTGCTGAGTAGCCACTGTGAGCCCTATGCACTAGGAATTCACAGGTATGAATGTGATTAGTAGGTGACTAGAGGGTGCCTCTGTGTTCATGCATATGTATGAGTATCAATCTGAAAGGCCAGCCAAGGCACACCAAGTGACAGAACAAAAATTTATTCCAGACAAAATAAGGATAGCCACCCAAGGAGAAAACATGAATTCTAATTGCCCAGAGAAAGTGTTCCTCAAATGGCACCCAAGGGGGTCTCGGTTTATATATTTAAAGAGGGGAAAGAGTTGGGGATGAGGCTCAGTGATAGTAGCAAGCACAAGCCCTGGATTCAGTCCCCAGCATTACAAAATGAAAAAGAGCAGTTTCTTAGTCATTGACAGGGTCGTGATACTTATGTGAAGTTCCAGCACTCTAGGAGACAGAGGCATGAGGATTAGAAGTTAGCTGGCTACATAACCAGTTTAAGGCCAGCCTGGGATCCAGAGTCTCTAAAATTGAATTGAAATATTTTAAGATTTATTTTTAAATTAACTATGTGTGTGTGTGTGTGGGGGGGGTTATGTGCATGTGTAAGTTGGGTGCCCAAGGTTGTGAGCCACCCAACATGGGTTCTGGGAACTGAACTTGGATCCTCTCGAAGAGTAGTTTGTGCTCTGAGCTATCTCTCTAGCCCCTACAAAATTGTATTTCAAAAGGGACAAAGAGAGCACAGCAAACCATTGTTACAATTGGACTAGAGGTCGGGAACAGCCTAGGATGTCCATTGGTTATTCCTTACACATTCCAGGAAAAGTCTTTTTTATCTTTACAGCATCAAGGACTATAGTAACCTGTCCCTGACTGGGGTCTCTTGTCCTATCTTTTCTTCCAGGCTGACTAACTCTGACCTCATTCTTGTAATATTTTCTATCCTTTCTTGTTTCCCACTTTTGACTAAAATTTTCCTCAAGGGTTAAAGAGCTTGACGGTCCCACATCACTTAAAATGCTAATTTCTAGGTGGTCATGGAAGAGGAGACTGAAGTTAGGAGGCCAGGACCAAACAGGTAGCTAGTAACAGGAAGTTTCATGAGTACATGAAGCTGAAGTCATACACACGTGTTACCTTCCTGGATGTTCTCCATTCATTCATTGGGTCACCATCATTTTAGTTTCGCCTTCAGTGTGAAACACTTGAGATACATAGAAACAGAACAAAGAATATTCTAAAGTCCTGACCTCTGCCTGAAGACAATCATCTATATTTTATAGTGGACTCTGGGAGTTTGAGAGGTAGATAATGAGGCTCTGTAGCTTGAGGTGTAGAGAATGAGACTTGGAAATGGAGAGAGACACATCCATTAGAACCTGATTAAGGTTCAACTAGAATAAATATGCCTCTGAAGGAAACTTACAGGATGAGGGGAAAGCTTCCTCTGCTTTTCCTCAGAATTCAAAGTCCAATCAGATTTTATCTTCAGGAATTTAAGTCAAATGGGTTCAGGTTAAACCAACGCTCACTGAAACACAGTTTTTCTTTCATTAGTCTATTCATTGTCATGTTAATAACATGATTTTGACCGGCAGTTTTATAAAATCACCATTTCCTTCAAAGATCTGGGAAAAATTATGAAGTCTAGTAATATAAATTCAAGAGTTATTTTTTAAAAAAACTCTATGCTTGGCAAAGCCAAGTGAACGTCTGCACCATTAACATGGCACATCAACTGAGGCACCTGGCTGCAGAGAAGCGTTGCACAACCCTCGGTAGTCCTGAGGTGGCAGATTGGACTTCCACTTCCGGTTCTACAGGCATGGCACGTGGTGCGGGGCTTGTCCAGAGTTCTTCCGGTCTCACATGGTGGCGCTGGCATGGATTCCTCCTGGTCTTCGCCCACGGGCAGCCTGGGCCCCACAGACCAGCAGTTGCAGCGTTTCGTGGAGGTGGAGACGCAGAGGCAGCGCGTGCAGCTGGTGATCCACCACATAACCGAGCTGTGCTGGGAGAAGTGCATGGACAAGCCCCGGCCCAGGCTGGACGGGCGGGCCGAGGTCTGCCTGGTGAACTGCGTCGAGCGCTTCATCGACACCAGCCAGTTCATCCTGAATCGCCTGGAACAGACCCGGAAGTCCAAGCCGTTCTACTCAGAAATCCTTCTTGACTGAGCTGGGCATTTCCCGTCTGGAAAAGGAAGGTAGGTCCAGAAAGGAAGAGCATTCGAGAGGAGGGGCGGGGAGTGGCTCCCATCTTTTGTCTCTTTTGCAACGTCATCTAAGAATTAACAAAGACTAATTTTTGTTGTTTGTGGGGATTGAGGGTTACATGTTTGGGTTGTGGGTTTTTGCTTTTGTTTTTGTTTTCTCTTCTTTTTATTTTTTGGAGACAGGGCCTTACTAACATGGCTAACCTGACCTGGAACTTCCTATGTAGACTAGGCTGGCCTCAAATTCAATCTCCCTGCTTCAGGCCTGCCAAACTCCCCCTCCCCATACTTGGATTAAATGTTTGAGCTACCACCCAGAGAACTACCAGGAACTCTGTGTTGGGATTTTTTGTTTTTGTTTTTTGTTTTGTTTTTGTTTTTTGAGACAGAGCCTTCATGTAGTCCTGGCTGACCTGGAGCTAACTATGTAGACCAGGCTAGCCTGAACTAACAGAGATATGCCTGATTCTGTGTCCAGAATTCTGGGATTAAAGGCCTGTGGCCTAGGCCACCATGCTTGGGTTGAGTTTTTAATCAGTATTTTTTTTAAATTTGTGTGTCTGTGTGAATGTATGCCACCTGAGTAAAGGTACCTGAGGAGGCCAGAAGGGGGTATCAAATCCCCTGGAGCTGGAGTTACAGATGGTTGTAAGCTACCTGATGTGGGTGCTGGGAACAGAACTCCAGTCTTCTGCAAGTACAACTGAGACTCAGCAAGTGCTCTTGGCTGCTGAGCCATCTCTCCAGTCCCCAAAATGTAAAAAACTAAAAAATTTTTAGCAAACATAAACTCACTGAAGTTAAAAGCATGGAGATACTGTTATAATCTTACATTAGAGCCATGGATGAATGAGACGTCTTGCCTTTGGGATACCTCTCAAGAAGCAAAGGGTTACTGACAACCCTTTGGTTTAGGTATAACCCCACAGTGCTAAGATCGTATGAGACAAAGCGAGTTCCGCCACGCTTTGGTTCCACCCCGATTTCCTCCTCTTTGAAAGTGATGAAAATGATTATGGGATGGCAGGACAACTCTGGTGAGCACTCTTGGCTTTCTGATGCCAGATGTACCTGTCTCCTACTGTCCTGAAGGGGGGACCCTCTCCTGTCCCTGCTCCCCACCCTCTACCCCCAAACACACACCTCCATGGAGATGACATTTTTACGACTGAGGAGGGTAAGCAATGTTCAATCCTGTTAGGAACATTTTGCCTCTGAGGCTACTTTAAGCTTTCCTAAGGCACACCTCAAGGGCCTGGTCCTTTCTCTTGCCCCTTTTCCACAGATGGCCAGTAAAATAGTTCCAAGGGAATTTAGCCTATGAACTTAATGACTAGACAGACACTGGAAAAAGTTAACTTACCCTGTAGCTATAGTTAACTATACCCTGTAGCTTACCCTGAAAGTTCATAGTTGTGCTTGAAGAAATCATGAAGAGGGATGGTAAGATGGCTCAGAGGTAAAGTTTTTTCCATGCATGCCTGATGACCTGAGTTCAATTCCCAGAACCCCGCATGGTAGAAGGACAGACTCTTGAAAATTGCCCTCTAACCTACACACGCATATGAATGCTAATTATAACTAAAATCAAATTTAAAAAAGGGGGCGGGGGCTGGAGAGATGGTTTAGTGGTTAAGAATATTTTCTGTCTGCTCTCACAGAGGGCCTGGTTTCAGTTCCCAGCACCCACATGGTGGCTAAGAACTGTCTGTGACTCCAGTTTCAGAGGTTCTGACACCCTCTTCTGACCTTCACAGACACAGGTACACTAACAGGCAGACAAAACATTCACATTCATAAACATAAAAAAAAATAAATTTTAAAAAGAAATCATGAAGATTTTGGCCAATCAGAAACTAACAGCAGCTTCAGGTAGAGGTGCATGCCTGGTGGTAATCATTATAGAGTTCATTTATGGCATTCATTTTGTTTACTTTGATAATAGTCTCTACAGGGTTAAAAAAAAATGAAACAAGCCTACAGCTGTCAGAATTCTTTCCATCCTTTTCCATGAACCACTCTTGAAGACACAACCTTGCTAGGACTGTTAAGTTCTGACAAAAGCTTTCAGAGAGACATCAGAATAAAGGAGCTTTACTATAGACGTTTCTTTTTAGCTAGGATCTTGTTTGCTATGTAGCCCTTGGATGGCCTGGAAATCACTGTATAGACCAAGCTGACCTTGAACTTGCAGTAGATCTTCCTGCCTCAGTTTCATGAGCACTGGGATCATAGATGTGTACCATCATGCCTGGCTGGGTTATTTTTTTAGAATTTAAGGAAGTATCATTACAATTATGATTAATAATATATAGGAAGATCTTATTTCTAGGACTCTCATACCATTTTGGAACACATCTTAACATTTCTATAAATAAAAGCCTAATACATGTATTTCAGATCTAGGTCTCAAAGCTCATTTTATGTTGAAAATTTAGTTTTAGAATTTAATTTGTAGATATTTGCTAAAATTATCCAGTGATTCAAGATAATTGATCAAGCATGACGTTGGTTAATTATTCATTCATAGTGACAATAAAAATTAAAAAGGGGATGGGCAAGGTAGTGGATGACCACAAGGAAACAGTTTTCTAGGCTTCTGGGAACTTGCTCATATGAACTACAGCAATGGTGACAGCATGGATAAGACCCATTCAAACTCAACCAGACAAAAACCCAACATAGAACTGGGGAAATGGGCAGGAACTCCTAGCCTTAGCCAAGGAACTATTGACAGCTGACCTTTGCTGGGTGAGGGGGAGTTCATCTTCTTTAAGGAAGTGACACTAGATAGGTTGACCAACCTCCAGTGCATGAATTTACACCAAGGGACATCAGGGGACACAAACTTGACTCAATAGGCCATAACATGCCTGACAGAATGTATGAAATCTGATGGGGGACAGTTGTGGGAGGTGCAGATAAGGGGGGTTATATATGATTAAGATCTATGAAATGCCCCAAAATTCAATAAAAATATATCTTGAAAAGAAACAATCCCCACCCCCAAACAACCAAAACCAAACCAAACAAAAGATATACCTGGGGAATAACACCCAAAGTCAAGCTTTGACCTCCACACACACACATGTGTACTACATGATACATAAATGGATGATGATGATATAGATGATAGAGAGATGGTAGATAGATACAAAGATATATATATATATAGATAGATAGATAGATAGATAGATAGATAGATAGATATTCACTGAGGTGGAATTGATCAGCTCTTCTATAAAAAATAGGTTTGTGCATTAATTGTGGAGTGTGTGCTTATCTGTGCCTACCTACACATCTGTTGGAGTTCTTTGGAGAAACAGAGCCTATTGGATATATAATGATTTATGTGAGTTATTTACTTACATTAAGGAATTGAAGAGAGAGAGAGAGAGAGAGAGAGAACACACCTGCAGAACATCATAGAACTAAATCTAAAAGTCTTGGTTGTTTTGTTACCAATACAGTAGCAAAATACCTGGATCCTTGGGTGAGGCAGCTGAAGTTAGGGATGCCCCAAACAAAGGATGAAATGGAGACCAGAGGAAAGGTTAAGCAAGCTTTAATCTAGTGGAAGTAAGAAAGTAGAATCTACCTTGCAGGGTGTGCAGCAGGCAGACAGAGAGAACTGGTTCATTGTGGCTTTTCTTGAAGGTTAACGTGAAATCAGGGTAGCATAGGGGTCTGGGCATGAAAACTGGGCCCACCATTTAAAACCAGGCTCTACCTTTTCAGACCCTTGCACATGTCGCTTAGTATAGGAAACATTACTGGAAGGCAAAGTCAAATACCCACAGCATGTGGAATGTGAGCACATGCACATGTGAAGTCCTACTTTGCCCGTGCCGTTCTAAGTGCTTTCTTGGGAATGTCGTGCAGTGTTGTTTGTACCTGATGGGGTAGCAGGGTAGATGCACAGCCCAAATACTGGAGTGTATGTTTGAAAAGGAGGAAATAGCTAGTGACGCTTTATTGTTGATTTACTTTGTCCACTTTTCTAGGTTGAGGAGAAACTACCTAACCATGTTTTATTGGCATTGGTTGATATTTTAGTTTTTCAGCCGAAGGTGCTTGGGGATTTCCCATTATCTAATGAAAGGCGTGCACTGGTTTATCTTTCAACTTTGTGTTCATGACAGGCAGTATAAGGGTATTTTGTTGTTTGCTGAAAGGCCAGTATTTGAAACCATGCCACCCTGCCCCTGCCAGTTCCCTAACTCCCTGCCTACCCCAACATTTCTTTCTCCAAAGAGTATGACTTTTTCTTGACAAGCGTATTTAACAGATGAGCCATCACTCTGCCCTCAGGACTTATAAAAGGAAAAGGGCAAAGTTTGCCTTTCTTCTGTAGCTGCTTTTTAGGGGTACTGTCCTGGCCTAGAGTTCATGTTCCTGGCTTTCTAGGGGTAGAGCAGGAGGCAGATGGCAGATGAAGTGATGACATCCTGGTGTTGCCACAACTGAAAGTAGATTTGGTGGTCAGCAGAGGCAGAGTGGCTGTAGCTGCCCTGGAAGGAGGAAGCTGCAAGAGAGAAGTAAGGTTAATGAGGCTGGGAATATGGGGCAGGAGAAAAGTAAGAGGGCAAGGATGGAATTTCATTGGGGTAAGTGTCAGACAAATTATTCATGGAAGAGAACATCTTCAAAGGGTTCCCATGCAGTCCAGGATTTGCCTGATGAGGCACAAGTAAGGGTGAGAATAGGCACTGTCAGGACCACTCCCTTCAGGATAATCCCAAAAGCAAGAGCAGTGGATTCTGGGTCCATAGATTTATTCATCTGGTTTGACCTTTGGAGTCCTTTGGAAGAGAAATTACAAGACTATGATTAGTTCCTAGATCCTTTTGCATCTCACTTTCAGCACTTATAGGAAAGTAGACTCTATTTTGAACAAGTGAAACTAGTTGGTAATTCCCTGGAGTCAGTGGCCACTGTGGTACTTAATCAGACCTGGTAAGG